AACACTTAAAATGCAATCAACTAGTCCATCTGAAGGCAAGAAGGTTGCGGGTCATTTCCTAATTCCAATATTGGAAGATGGAAGCATTCTTTAATCATATCACTGCTTTGTTGAAAAAAGCAACCCGAAATGGGGCTTTTTTGTTTGGCTCGTAACAGCTAATAAAATTTTTTAAAAAAAAACTTTGAGAACCGTTAAATAAAGGCATGTTGATGCCTAGTCAACGACATCAAGGTGGCTTTACAGAACTCCAAAAAAGAAAAATAATAGTCACAGTGATGTTGCTATTTTTAATTAAAGTCAGTCTAGCATAAGGTTGCCAGATTTGGCAAATAAAAACACAGAACATGGAGTTAAAGTTGAAGTTCAAATAATAAGCAAATTATTAATTTTTAGTGTAAATAAGTCCTGTGCAATAGTTCAGGGTATACTTACACTAAAAATTTACTCGCTGTTTTTCTAAAATCCCACTTTATCAGGGTGTGCTGTATTTTATCTGGCAGCCCTTGTCTATCATCCTTGCCACACTGTGGTTTGCTATGAAAAGCATGCAAAGCTGGATCCTATTTCCAGGGTCAAGAACAAGTGCTGGAGTTTCTGCTCTTACTCCGTCTGCCAATGTAAAAACTCTGGCATATCAGTGAGACCAGGAATGCTTCTTTAACAGAAATAGAATACACTTCCAATTAGTCATTTCATTTTCTTAAAGGAAGAGAGAAAGGCCTTGCCCACTGGAGAAGAAAATAAGAGCTGGCAAGTAAGAAAGAGAAAAATCTGGAATAAACAGGAGGGGAAAGAATTTTTATCAGGAAGTAACCGAGTTGGATACAAATAAGTCTGAGTCAGAAAACAAAATACTTAGCATAATTAGATTCCTAGGAGTCAGAAATTGGAGACAAAAAGAGAGGAAATGATAAAAGGATATAAAAAATGTATTTCCCCCCTAGGAAGGCTGCTTTAAAAAAAAATTCCTGCTGATGAGAAAGTTAGACATTTTGTGGGAGAGAAGTTTCCAGACACATCATACCTGTCTTTCTGAAGCACCGTGTAATACTTGGTCCAACTCCCAACTGATAGAGAACGCTTGTTTTTCTTTTCCTTCTGTTAACTCACACCTTCAGGTGCTCCCCGCTCCTCCATATCCCATAAGATGAGCTGCCACAGATCCGCACCTCTGGCTTCAGTGACTTTGCCCTCAACCATATGAACCCCCCCACCCCTGAGATGCTATGTGACTGGGGCAGATTTGCTGGCTCTACCTTAGAATTTCCCTGGGTGTGCTGTGAAATGCAGATGCCTTGGCTCCTGCTGGTGTCTCCTCACTGAGATTCTACATTTCACTTTGCTTCCTCATGACCAGAATCCCAATATGTGTGGGATACACAGGCTCCTGGGACATGTGGTTTAGAGTTCGGGTGTTGTTTGTTAGGATGAAAGAGGTATAATTAGTGTGGTTGGTTGCTTTTGGTTTGGATTTCAGTCTTGGTTTTGGTTTCTGTACTTGAGGAGAGGGAAAGATATCACAGAAATTTTATTTATGTGAAAAGGAGAATTATGGGTCTTCTTGCTGGTAATAATAGGACAATCATGAATGTTGCTTTAAATGGATCGATTTTCTTTTTTAACACGGGGACCATTCAGAAAAGCCAATTATTAAAGAGTGATGATAAGAAACAACAAAATATTATTTTTTTATTTTTATTTATTGACTTTATAGAGAGTCGGGGAGGGAGTGAAAGGCAGACAGAGAGAGAGGAGAGAAACATTGCTTTATCCTACTTATTTATCCATTTATTGGTTCCTTCTTGTATTTACCCTGACCGGGGATTGAACCTACAACCTTGGCGTATCAGGATGATGCTGTAACCCTTTTAGCTACTCAGCCAGGACTGTTCTTTATTTTTTGTGAAGTATCATATTTTTAATTTTTATTTTTTATTGAATTTATTGGGATTACATTGATTAATAAAATTATATAGGTTTCAGGTGTGCAATTTTATAATCCACTACATCATCTGTATATTGTATCGCACGTGCACCCCCCCAAGCTGGGATGATGCTCTGACCAAACGAGCTACCTGGCCATGGCTATTATCTGATTCTTAAAGGGGTAAATAATCAAAGTATGAGAAAAAGAAGACAAATAAAATGAAATCTTGCAATTCATACCACGATGTAGAAGAAAATTATATTTTTAGCCCAAGTTCCTCAAGGTTAAACTTAACCTTTGGGTTTTATGTATAGAGAGTTTATTATTGTTTTTCCTGAGTTACAGATGAATAGTCAGCCCAGTTTTGAACAGGGCAGTAGTATTTTTGCTCTTCCCTTTGTTTGTATTTAGTGAGCACCCTCAGAGTTGAAGGTGACTGAATCATTATCTTTTTCTCAGTAGGAAATGGATCCATTTGATGTGAAGCTGTTCAGAATCAGTGAATGCTTAGGGAAACAGGAAAAGGGAAATCTGCAATATACAAAGCATGGAATTAATCTACAGGGTATTAAGAAAATACTCGATCCTCAAAATTAAGAAAGAGAAGAGCAAAATATTCAGTCCGTTTTGGACTCAATACGACCTTTAAAAGATCGTTTAACTCCCTCATCACGAGACACTTTAGGAAGTGGGTTTCCAGCTGTGTCCTCCTAAACACGGGAGTTCTCTAGGGCACCTAAGGAGTGAAAGCCAGAGATGTGTGCCTCCTTTCCTACTCAACCATAACTGGATCCCAGCCTCAGTCCTACCCTCAAACACATGCACTCACTCTGCCCGAATATTTCTGTCTGCTGGAAGGAAAGAGAATGCCCTGCAGTGGTTGCTCCAGTGGGGTCCCAGAGACACACCTGTAGGTCCCCCTGCAGGTCCCCCTGCAGACGACTAGCCCTGCGAGCTCAGACCAGTTGCTTTCTTCCGCATGCCCAAAGTCCTCACGTGCATTAACAAAATAGGGGTTCTAACTGGTAACTCAGATCACTAACAACTCAGTCATGAGGACTGAACCAGCTAACACACCCAAATAAATTAGAACAGTGTCTAGTACCTGGTAATAAACTTCCACTATCATTTGTTTCTGTTCTTGGCCTTGGCGCAAGCTTCTATTGGAGGGAAAGTTTCTACTGCCTTAAAAAGTTTTTGGAAGGACTACTGCTTCAAACCAGTACTTCATAACTAATGATCACACTTTTGTCCTTTTATGCTTTGGCTGAAAGCCAGGTCCCACCCCCTGAACTCCAAGGGTTAAAGACATTCCTTTCCTTTCTCAGATCTGAATTCAGGGCTGTGGTGGTTAATGATGTAAGGATGATGATGACATCACAGAAACTATTTCCTTATAATCTTTTGTTTTTCTCTTGCTAACTTTTTAAAGGGAGAAACATTTTTTATTCACTATCTAAGCATTGGGAACTCTTTGGAGGTACGCTTTGCACGAATGCTGTTATTATCACCCACATTCGGTGAAGTACTTGGGGATTAGAAGTGTTATGTAAATGTTTACACATTATTACACTGTGGCCCGAGATCCACAGTGGGACAGCAAAGACAGCCAGGGAAGAAGCATGAAGCCCCAGAGGGGCAATGGTTTTTGTGAAAGGTATGAAATTCTCTTTAATTTTAGCATAATGATAGTTGCATTTCTGAAGAAAGTCATTTACAGCCATTAAGGAAAGTATATATGGCTGTATAAGAGAAACACAATCTAAACTGAGGATTTGCTGAATGTTTTAAGCATGGAGTTTTTAGAGAAAAGGGTAATGGAGAATGGATTTAAAATGCTGTGAGGGGCATTTGGCATTCACTAGAGGAACTTCCTGACAATAAAAGCAGCATGTTTCCCCACCCAACCTGTCAGTACATCTTTCCCAAGGGAAGGAGCCGCTTTCTCTTTCTTGGTTCTGCCTACAGGCAAAAGCTTGGAACCCCTCCTCCCAGCTCACGATTTTAGGTAGTAAGGTCATTACAGAATGTTGGAGCCTATTCTCTTAAATATCTTTACTCTTCCTTGTAGAGAAAGTCTCTGACTGGAGCAAGAATGTCCCCAATACCCCTAACACCAGCTAAACTCTTTTTAACCAAGAGGAAAAAAAGACCTAGTTCAGTGCCTTCAGCTGGTCCATGTGCCTAGGAACAACAATCATTTTATTCGACCGGTGGAGCTGATTTTCCAATTATGGTCATGATCTTAAAATTTCACTTAAAAATAAGTGTGAGGGAAAAGAGGAATTTGATATAAAGAGAGAGGCTGCCCCCCAAGCTCCTGAGACGTGCAGATGCACTGGAAATCCTGATGGCCCCGGAGACGACGGCCCGGAAGCCCCTGTACTAGATGATTCCGGGATTTTCTAGTTCAGGATCCTTGAGGGCAGGACAAGGAGCTTCAGCTGCACAGTCTTAGGTGGAAACTGGGAAAGCTCCAGAGGCAGCGCTCATGAAAGTAAGAAACCTCTCCACTCAAAGGAGCTGCATCAGCACAGGCGGAGGAACTCTGGACACGAAAGACAAAGCAATCCTGCTCTTGATATTTTAAAAATATCTGCTAATGCACAGTTTCAGATGATTATTGAAAGGATGTTCGGTTTTGAGTAAAGGACAAAAATACAAGTTGAGGGAGAAAAGCCCACACCCTTTTTTCTTCATGCTTAGAAAGATTGTCTCCCCCCCAACTACTTCATATTTAAAAAAAAAAACACATACACAAGAAAGAAAGGAGGGGGGGAAGCAGTGTAACTAAATCTCCGCCAGAAAACACACAGTAAATTCTAGCTGGTTAGCGGCCCCATTCCAAATTATTTTTAAAAAACAAATCCTAACAGTCATGTAGTTACAGCTCCTGAGGGAAGCTCTGGGCCCAAGGCGGGTGTCCCAGAACCCGAACCGCAAAAAAAAAGGAAAGAAAGAAACCTAACCGGTCTTCCGACAGGAATATGAAAGCAAGATCTCCGAGGCAGCGGGAATGCCCCAAAGGAGGAGAGGGCTGCAGCTTGCAGTAATCTGTAAATGATTGCGGGTAAAGTCTGGAGGCTTCGGGCTTGATCTGTGTTTGTTCCAAAAGAAAGCCAAGGAGGACGGTGTTAATAAAGAGAGATTTAACGGAGAGCTGTGCTTGGAATAAAGTGGGCTACAAAAAGGTCAAATTTGATCAGTTGGAGCAGATTACAAGGGCTTTCAAAGGTGGTGTGGAGAAATGAGCCGGGGCTGGGAAGGAATATAGCGCCAGATTGATCCGGGGGGTGGAGAAAAGCCAGGACAAGTGCTTATCAATCCTGGAAGTAAGAAGAGCTGTGCTGGGCGCCCCATCGCGCTGGCCCGAGCCAAGAAGCCGGCGGGCCGGTTCCTTCCCCTGCACCCACCCCCTTCCCCTCCTCTCGGATTGGATTCGCCTTCAGCTGCCTCTTAGACAATGGATTCCTTAATCTCTGACTTGGATCCACTCAAAGACTGGAAAGTTTTAAGGTAGGCCTGCTTTCTTTCTCTCCCATCACTGTTTCAGTTCAAGGCCAAATTCCTCCCCACCCCCACCCCAATTAAGGAACGCTGGATGCGAAGTGCATTGCCTGTGGTGGCTTTCAGTGACAACCAGATCTGCGTGGAGGAATACTCTGCTTCAATAGGGAAGCTACTCCAACACTTGCGAGAATCGAGGCGTGAGAAGTCTTGTTTCACTCCTAGAGACGAATGCGGTGCATTTTTATGAGAGGGTGCACAGTTTTACTGAAATGATTCCTGACACCAGCTCACTCACAAGACCCTGTTCTCATCTTTACTGTTGTATTTCATGGGCGCGAAGAGAGAGGAAAGGGGATGTAGCAAACTTTTGGGGACTTTACATTTAAAAAGCAAACTCTTTCCAGAAAACATTATTCCTGCTTCTCTTTTAACAATCCTTGCAAATGTGTTCCTCCTCTGACCTCTCCTTTTCCCCAGGTCAAACATAGAAAAGCTAGAAAAACTCAGTTGACCTTAGTACTGAGTGAACAGAATTTATGAAATGAGGTCTTTCTCCGAATCCTCCTAAAAAGCTGAACTCTGACCTTTGCATCTCTCAGGAGCCCAGGAAAATTAGAACCAAGGAGCTCAAAGTGGCAGATTTCATGTGTTCCCTCCACCTGAGTCTCAGCTGACTCAGTAGAGCTCACAATGAACTCATAGGTTTAATGTAACACCAAATGGCATTTCCCATTTGGGCAAGTTTTAAAATATATTTTTTTAAAAAGTGAAACTGAGGGATTTTTCTGAAAGGGATTCTATAGGATGTCATTGTCCTGAATATCTACCCCAAAACATGATTCCACTGGCACTTAATGTAGACTAGAATTGTGTTGCTGGACCTCTTTTTCCTGACATTTATCTTGTCTTAATTAGCTAGTACTTATTTCCCTCTCATGGGTTCTGCCTTTGCATTTCTCTTCTTCTCTTATTTTTCAAAGCAACAATATTATAGTAAAGAGCAAATAGAAGGAAAAATAGCCAATACCCATCTTAATGATATTCCTTTTTTAAATCCTTCCATCCTGCTTTCCAGAACTTTATGTGTACATGTGTTGTACATCATATTGTACGTGCCATTTTAGAATCTGCTGGGGTTTTTTTCAGGTAAATATCAAACATATTTTCATGTTGTTACCCACCATTCATAACCATGATTTCAATGGGTAAATAAAGCACCATAATGTTGGTGTACATTCTTTACTAAATTATCATTTGTTGAAAATTTAGATTGTTTCCAGGCCTTGAGTTGTATTATCAACAACCCAAGGAACATCTTTGGGCACGTAGATTTTTGCTTTTGTTAAATAATTCTAAAGATGTCTAGATAAAAAGGCACAAAAAGTTTTATAGGTCTGTCAGTTATGTTTTCCTCTGTTTGTAGGTTAAATTTGATTTGTAATGAAGAAATGGTAAATGTTCTTATGTACTTCTGTAAATGTTCTTATGATGCTGCTCTTAGAATGAATTTCATTCTCTATTTCTCTGACTGGATTGGTAGTCTATTTCTAAAATTAAAACATTTCTTTTTTTAAAAGGCAGATTTTATTTATTTTTAGAGAGAGGGGAAGGGCAGGAGAAAGAGGGAGAGAAACATGAATGTGTGGTTGCCTCTTGCACACCCCATACCGGGGGCCTGGCCAGCAATCCAGGCATGTACCCTGACTAGGAATCCAACTGGTGTCCCCATGCTTTGCAGAACAGCACTCAATCCACTGAGCCTTACCATCCAGGGCTTAAAATTGAAATATTTCTTAAGACTACTTTTAAAATTTTCTTTTTGGTGATTAACTTATTAATATTATTACACAAATGGATAATGTGGGCCATAGCTCTAAGAATGCGTGTGATGATTATAAATTTTGAAGATGTAGCTCTCCAAAGGCCTTTTTGAATGAATCTTAATCCACTTAAAAATCAGTAATAATGTTGCCTTCCCTCTAAATGTGTTCCTAACATAAGTGAAGTTTACTTTATTGCTAGAGTAAGTAAAGTTTCCCAAATTTGGAGTGGCAAGACCTGGCAAAGAGATATATTTTTCCATCAACCACTTTGGGTATGCCAAGTTCATTCTGTCCTCACTTCTTGGCAGGCATAATTTCATCAGCCTTTTAACTGTGTAATCCTTTCCTGAGGTAAGGAATTATAAAGGAAATAGTGTTTATTAATTGAATTTTATATTTCTTAATTGTTCACAATGAGGCTTTTCTTGGCTAATCCTGATTCATTGAACCATTGAGTCGCCAACAGTAAGTCTCTATCTATTGTACGTGGAGAAGCAAAGATACAACATGAGCTTATAAATGGGGCAACTGGCAGAATGAAGATGTATATGCTAATGCCGTACAGAGTTGTATGTGATATGAGTTTCATCCATACAATGCTTTAGAAATCCAGAGGTGAGAGCCCCCATTTGATAAGGAAAAGGAACACTGTTACTGCCCTTGTCTAATTAACAAATGAGCAGAATGCTTAATTTATAACAGTGGAAAGGCTTTCAAAACCTGTGTTACCTGGAATGTTTTCAGATGTTTGCTCCAGGTATGCAGCCTGGAGTTCTGCCAAACCTGTTGCTCATGAAAAGTGATCGCATAGAACAATTTTTAAATCTGCTGACACCATAATTTACTGTTTCAAGATATGATCTGCTGCAGGGATACAAGTTCAGGTCATAAACCTTCTCAACTGTGCTTGACATCACCCTAGGTGTATTTTGTCAAGTGGAAAATCAAAGCAGTGAATGGGGCTATTGGCTGTTTTACCAGTAACTTAATGTCTACGTTAAGGGGTATAAAAGAAATCTAACTCCCACCCAAAGACACCAACACTTTCCAACAGTGATGCCCTAGAATATTGGGAAAAGACAAACACAAAAGTTTCACGCAAAGAAAACATTCAAAATCAGCTACATCAAGAGAAATATAATTAGTGTACTAAAAAAAAAAGAACATGACAATTTAGTAAACCTCAGGTAGAAAGAATTGAAAAGAAACCTGGCGATATGTTTAATACAAGATTTAATGTTCATAGGTATGACTTGAGGGGGAAAAGGTTGACAGTGGAGGGAAGTTAACAGGGAGCAGACCTCTGAATACCTGGCCTTTGCTATACCCTCCCCATGCCCCTGTATCACCTCCATGGAAGTGCCTGAAAAACCCAAATCTAGTTTAACCATACCATTTAGAGATGAAGGAGTTGAGCAGACAAGATGAAGTGACTACATTGGGTCACAAAATTCATCAGTTGGACAAGTTGCCACTACAGCCTTCTCTTGAACTCCATCTTGTCTGCCAAGGGGTCGTACTCACCTTCACTTCTCTTCCCATCTCTCCTTTAATGATATAAGACAGCTCAGCCAAGACCTCTCCTCAGAGTTCCCAGACTTCTCAGTGCAGCCAATGATATATCTTAACGATGACTCAAGCTACACAGGTTATAAACCATTTCTATAATCTCCCCCAAGACCTGGTTCCTTTCTGCTGTTCACAAGCTTATGAGTCACCCAGCCATCCCGCCAGGTACTCAACTGGAAAGCTAGACATCCACCCTAATCCCTCATTTTCCCTCTAATTACATCCATGCGGTCATTATCTCCTATTGATTTCAACTCCTAAACATCTACAGATTCTTTGCTTTTCTCCACCTTTCCTTGCATTTATCTCGTTTGGCGCAGAAACCTGTACAACTTCCTAACATATCCCCCTGTTTCAGTTCTTGCTCTCACAGTCGAATATTTTCCACACAAGGGGAATGGAAACACTTCAAAAGCCATTAATCATATCATGTGACTTTTCTATTGAAAAACCTCCCATCACTGTTCAAATTAAACTCAGCATCCTTGTTCTAACCTACAAGGCCTCATCTGACCTAGCCCTGACTACCTCTCCAGCCATACGTTCTCCTTCTCTCCCCACTGACTGTGTTGCTCCAGCCACTCTGGAACAACATTTTGGCCTTAGGATATTTGCACAAGCCACTCCTCTTCCTACCTGGAAATCTTTGCTATTTGTAGGTCCGGATGCTGCTTGTTGTACAAGTCTTAGCTCAAATGTCACCTCCTCGGTGAAGTTGTCTCAGACCCCATGATTTAAAGTCATTCAAAAGTCACTCTCTAGCATATCTCCCTGATAGGTTGAACCATATAAAATTGCCAATATTCAACCATTTCTGACCTATTAAAAATATTTCAATTTCACATGGTTTAATTAATATTCTCATCATAGAACTTATCAATACCTGCTATTTTTTTAAAAGATTTAATTTTTTTATTTTTAGAGAGAGGGGAAGGGAGGGAGAAAGAGAGGGAGAGAAACATCAATGCGTGGTTGCCTCTCACATGCCCAGCACCGGGGACCTGGCCTGCAACCCAGGCGTGTGCCCTGACTGGGACTCAAACCAGGGACCCTTTGGTTCACAAGCCCACATTCAATTCACTGAGCCACACGAGCTAGGGCAATACCTGATATTTTTACATGTATTTATTATCTCTCTCATTAGAGTATATGGTTTGTGTGTTTAACTGGCATATACCCAGTACCTAAAATATTTTATGGCACATAACAGATGAGTGACCAAATGAATGAATTGAATGAAGTGGTCGCCGCTTGTCTTCCTCATCGACTGTACACTTCCTGAGGCCAGAGGCTTTACCTGTTGTGTTCACACCCTAAGGCCTGTGTTTACCACAGTAGTGGTGGTGGATTATGTGGAATGAACGAATGAATAACCAACTCACTCCTACCTCCCAGTTTACTAATTCTATCTCCATATCCTCATTTCTGTTTCGATCAGCAAAGTCTCTGAATTTAATAACGTGGACAATTTTTACTTTCTCTGGGCATCTGATAAACACCTATTATTCAAGCAGAATTTAGTCCTTCTGTACAAGAGAATGATCTAGATCAGGAATGTTCAAACTTTGATAAGGGCCAGCGGGTAAATACTTTAGTTTTTTTTAATATTTTATT